ATATCTTATATTTCGAAAAACAGTATAAACTGTACGGTCTAAATTTAGTTTGCACGGTCTAAATTTAGTTTGCACGAAAGTTGTAAACAACACCAAATAAGGATAGACATTCCATATTTGGAAAAACGAACGTTACGGGGCAGACATTCAAATTCATTAGTCATCGATGCAGGCTCTCAATTCAGCTTGAGAGCCTGTTCGCAGGCTAGATCGAAGTATATAACCATTTAAAGTCTCAACAGGACCCCACTGAAATCACTATTTGTGATTCGTCCCAGGGCCCCACTGAAAATTACTATTTATGATTCGTCTCAGGGCCCCACTGAAAATCACTATTTATGATTCGTCTCAGGGCTCGCTGAAATCACTATTTATGAGTTGGGCACCCTGATGAAATATTGTCTTAATAATAACAAAATAATTTTGTTTTAGTCTATATCTTGGGTTTTTATTTTGCCCGGTGTTTGTCTTATACTGTATTTCTGCGTGCTCGAAATGTTCGGGTTTGTTATCCGTGCTCACTGTATTTATTGGTGGGCCGTGCCTCCATCTGTCTTCTTATATTAATATACTATCTTTAAATTTTTAGGTCACCTCACCTGGATCTAAAACACTTGCTTAACTGCAAGGCGTTCATCAGCAAATTGTAATTGTTTTGTAGCATACAAAATTCATACAAACCTAAATGGAAAAAAACTCAGCCAAGTATCAAATATTTAAGGTCTGCATAACAAATTTGTTATTACTTACATTTAGAGACACGTTGCCCAGATCGAAAGATTTTCTGGAAAAAATGGAGAATCCAGTTTTAGTTGTCAAACACTACACGAACGAACGAGTTATTGCAAATAGAGATCAGTTACCGTAACGTCTTGATTCAATGAAAATTCGTTGATTGGAAGACATCCAAGTGTTGCTTGAAGCAAACTAAAGAGACAAAGTTTTGTTATATACGTTCATTTCTTCAGCAATTCTGAAAATCATTTCTTCTGGAAGAGAGTGGGCAGCCTTTTACATTTGGTCCATTTGACGTGCTATATGACAAATTGATACATAATCAAAATAACTTGTGTTATCCATCAACTTGCTATTTATGTTCAAATTACAACACGATTCGATAGCGCTAGTTCGGACGATGCAGAGATTTTTTTTCTTCTGATGTGGCAACAGAATATTAAAGTTTAAGAAAATTCAAACATTCCATATTTAATATTTGCATAATTACTGATAACAGAATCTAATAATGGTGGGTTTTCACAAGTACTATACAAGTATTTTGTCATAGGTAAATGAAATCAAAATCTTAATTAAACTCCTAAATAGTTTCGAGTAAATTAGCCAACCATGCATGCACATATTTGCCTTATTTTGTTCACATAATAATATTGGATACCTGGTGAACTAGTGAAGTGTATTGATCCAGTCCGATCAAAATTAATTCAGTCCTTGCATGGACTAGATCACAATTAATTCAGTCCTTGCATGGACTGAATTAATTCACCTCACTTTAAGTTGTGATTTATTCGTATGAAATGTCATTTCAAATCTTCCAATTTGGAGGTCCAGTCCTCATAGCCGGATTTGCAATATTACTTAAATAAAGTATTTTGTTACACATAAATTAATTAAACTCATTTAGAATTGGGTTAATTGCAGTGGTGTCAAGTAACGAAGTAAATGTACTTCGTTACTGTACTTGAGTACTATTTTTGAGAAGTGAGCATGTAACAAAGTAACAGTTTTCTGGAGTACTTTTACTTGGAACGAAGTAATTTTAAAAAGTAACGTTTTACTTCGTTATTTTCATTTTGCGGCAAAGTATCTCGTTACTTTCTAACTTTTGTTTAATTTTACGCGATTTATTTCTGGTTTATTTTAATTTCGGGAAAGGTAATACGACCTCTACATGCGTCTGGGACCTCTCGTTTATGACTTACTGATAAGAATTATTTATTTAATGGATTTCTTATATCTTCAACAGGGTCTGAAAAGTAGACAATGCCGTGAAATATTGTATATTCTGTGCACGCATACAATGCGTGTGTTTTTTGTGTCTTTGGTATATTAATCCATTGGAGAAGTTCCCCTTCCCCTCTACACGCCACAGACAATAGTTTTACTTTTACTTTTACTTTGTACTTCAAGTATTTTTTAAGGATACTTTGTACTTTTTACTTAAGTACGTTTTGCTTCCAGTACTTTTTACTCTTACTCAAGTCGTTTTATTGTTAATACTTCTACTTTTACTCGAGTACAAATTCAAAGTAATTTAGGCACCACTGGTTAGTTGTGAAGTTGCATAATTTCTTACCAACTGATCTTCTGTTCCGTTGTCTTAATCTTTCCATTTATAGGAAACCTATAAATTAAAATTTAAAGCAGCTTAGTCATTGGCTAGTGGAACAAGTCACATGTAAATTTTGTACTAAGGATTTAATAACTTTTCTTTGATAAATTCTGAAAGATACGATGAATATCAGTTGGTCAAATTTAACAAAATTTCGGTTGATAGAGTTGCAACTACCTAAAAAATACAAGGAGAAATTCAACGTTTCGAGCGAAGGTTCTTCGTCGGGTAGGCCCTTCCTCGCTAACTTCCGGATGAAGGGCCTTCGCTCGAACCGTCGAATTTCTCCGTGTAGTTTTCAGATACGTGCATCTCTATCAGCAGAATTTTCGTTATTACTGGCACTACTAACACTGGTAGGCCAACAGACTGTTCAAAATTATTGCTCAAATATACGTCTGGGCTGTAAATAAACACATTTGGAACAACGCATATATTTAAAATGTAAGGACTGTTTCATGTATAATATGGTATATACCTGATAGTTACTCGGTTTTTGTCCTTATTTAAAGTATTTAGCACTTTCTTCTCGTTATTCCTTAGCTTCAAATCAATGAATTCTTTACATTGGCACACAACGTTGACCTTGTTAGGGTAAATAAAAAAAATCATACCATGATTCAGATAAACAGAACTCTATATACAAGACAGAGTATTAGATTTACTTACACTGGGGACACTATATATAGCAGGGGCTATAGGGGAGGGCGCCGCCATGTTTCATTTACTTGTCTACACAAAAACGTTATCTGGCGTTCACCAAAAGCCGCAATAGCACCTGTCATTAAATAATTTTTGTACTAGCATATTTTGTCTTCTGTGTATAGCAAAATAAGGAAAGGTACACTTACATGTATAAGGGATTATTTTTTCTAATTTAAAGCAAGTCAACCATGTAGAAACTAATCGTTTTTTAGTATTTTTTGTTCATATTCAAATGATGATTGAACAGGTGAATAATTTGACATGCATATCCTATTTCTTCCAGTTTCAGCTACATGTGATAGTTCATTATCCTGACGCAAAACGCGTCATTTGGATGCGCGGTCGAGACTTTGAATTGGGTCGCACTTATATATGAAATATATTAAACCTTATAACAGATCTTAAACCTTCTCCCGTTGACATAGATCAAGGATTTGACATATTTCTTTAAGTTGCTGAATGGACTTTGCGATTTAAATATTTCTAATTGTGTGTCATTTGTTCGTCGTAATCGTACTCATAACTGTGAAAATCCTTCTCTCGTACCGTTGGAGTTCCATCGTGTAAGGGACCGGTCATATAAAGTAACTGCTAGGATTGGCCGGAGGAAATAAGGATGGGCCATGGAATTATTTTCATCAGTTTGGGTGGGCCATCAATTTGTTTTTTGTGAAATGGATGGGCCATGAAACAAATATTAGCCTGTTTGCACTGAATACATACTGTAACTTAACTACTATACAACTGAGTTATGAGTAAGTGACTCAAGCTCTCAGTGCATGGTTTGATCAAAGTGACTGCTATACTGTGCATATTCAGGATGGGTCGTGAAATTTTTCCAATGATCTACGATGGGCTTTGAAATTTTCCTAGGTTCTCAGGATGGGCCATCGGGTTTGTTTTTGAAAACCTATTTTTCCCTACGGCCCACCCTAGCAGTTACTTTATGACCGGTCCCTAAAACAAATATTTTCCAGTAGTCGTTCTTGGAACTGTATGTGTAAAATAGCTTGTCCTGCAGACCTTCGCAGTTTAACTATGTTTAACGACGTAAATACGTCTGAGCTTCAAGCAATTGGCATATGTTCATTGGTTGCAGTAATAGTAATAGTAAGAGTAAGAGTAATAGTAATTTTGTAATTTCATTAATTTGTAAAAAAAGGTAGAGTGCCTCGCATAGGACTTCGAGTCCCGTTTCCACTCGTGCCGTTTGCTATGTCTTGCTTCACTGTCCAACAATAAAATATACAATAATATAAAATAGCATTGCAACAGGAGGGCAATTCAAAGCACTGGCAGAACGATATGAGGATTGACATTCCTACCAGATCATTTAAATCTTCATTTCCTTGTAATCCCAAAAACAATTTAATTGACTCAAATGCAAGGCAATATCTTGCCATCAGCTTTCCAGTATCTAAAGAAACGAATATGCCTGTATACATTTTTGTGGAGTGTAGAGGTTGTCTATCTTCCAATCGCAGTAGGCAAGGGGGTCTAGGGACCATCAAGCGAACCAAAACAAATAGACTGGAGACAAGAATGGATTCTGAAATCAAACCATTCTCGTACCCAGAGCCCTTCTTACGCGCGGTGCGACGAGGGGCTCTGGCCAAATCCATATTCCGAACTGGCATCTGATTGGCTAGTTCTAACACCGGATATTGTTTTCGTACCATGTTTTTATGGTATCCGGTTATGGATTTGGCCAGAGCCCCTCGTCGCACCGCGCGTAAGAAGGGCTCTGGGTACGAGAATGAAATCAAACTCCAACTGGTTAAAACCATAGATATCTTATATAAACTAGATAGCGCACTCTTTTAGTAAAATTGAAGCCAAGAATATTCCAGCGGTTACCCCCATTTGAATAGATGGCGGCCATGTTGGAGTTTCCAACTCGCTAATAAACGCTTAAAAGACAACAATAACTTTCATCATTTGAACAGTTTGAAAATGTATTTGGAATAGGTTTAACTTAATGTTTAAGTTCCCTGTTTAAGAAATAGAAAACATACGAGTCTTCTCATTTCATGGGAATGTCCTAAGTCTGCAATCACGGCTTCAATTTTTGAATTGCAGAATAATTAGATGCACTATCTACTCTAGTGTATATAAGATATCTATTTAGCCTTATTTTTAGAATATTTTCGGGGTTAACGGCCATTTGCGTAAAATTCCGTAAGTGAAATGACATTTTAGGAGCTTTGGTGGCGTAGTCGTGAGAACAAGCGCCTTTCACCTCTAAGATCGCGTGTTCGATCCTCGCTACGGACTCATGTAAGAAGTCTCCGTTCTATCGAAATTCATGGGTTTTCTCCGGCGCTCCGGTTCCCTCCCACAGGGAAAGTTTACAGGGTGGATTAGGATAAACATAGTAAAGTAATATCACAATTGTTGTAAAAATAAATAGTCCAGGCTATGTAGGTAATAAAGTAAGCATAATACTTGATGTAATCGGTAACTGAAAAGGCCCGATGGTGAGTGAATCAATCAAAAGAATATTCATACCTGTTGGCTTAAGATCAAATCCTTCATCCATGTTTATCAATCCGTGATCTCGTAACGTGTTTAAACTTTCTACACACATTTCTATAAATGATAGTCAATATTAATCAGGGAAGTAATTTTATGCAAATAAGGCAACAACATAAATTATAAATATACCTTGGAGCTTTGTTTCTAAGATATCCATGTCAAGACCTTCAGGAATACCTATATTTAAAGATAGTGGTTACATGTATCTCGAAGCACTTAGGAATGATTTGTCCCTACCTTTGGGGGGGGGGGGGAGGGGGGTGTTAGATAAAACAGGAGAGGAAGAAAAATTCGTGAAAAAAAAGATTTTCAAAAAGTTTGAAATTTTCTTCCAACTGCAGAATTTTTGTTTCTTCCTTAGTAAAAATTTCCCCTAAAATTGAAAAAAATTACAATAGCACGACCAAAACATTGCCCGCTCAGCCTCGCCTCTGGTCGAAAAGGCTTTAGAACCTGAGTATTCACCACTCTTGATCACTCTCCAAATATCAACTTTTTCGTCTGACCGCTCCTGGATACGGAATTGACTCTTCATTGGGGTGGAAAAAAGTAACCCGACTGGTAACTATACAGTATACACCTCTGGATCAGAACTAATCTCTTACCATAATAAGTTGGATTTTTCAGTATCCTTATATAGAGGAATGTTGATTTTAACCATTCCAAGGCGATAGAGACATCAGTGATAGTATTCAGTACGATTTCTGCGTTCAAATGCTCGATCAAATTCTTATGTAAGCTAAAGGAAGAGTATACACCTTTGGGCGTGTTGTTTTGTGGACAAACAAAAAACACGCCTATCCCAACCAATAGAAAATAAAACGCTGGACATAAGTCAATACCAAAGATATGCAAGGCATAGGTTATAAAATGAATTTTAATCCAAAAATTGAGTGTTTTAAAATCATGTTTTCATTAATAAAAACACATTTAAATGTGCACACAATTTTCAAAACACTCAACTTTCGGATTAGCATTCATTTTCAATTTGTTACTAGTGAAAAATAATCTTTTGGGAAAGAATTAGTTATAATTCCGTTACCAAATTAGCATAATTAGAACCAATCCTCTATAAGAGTATTGCTTACCAGGATCTTCCACGGTTACAATACTATGGAGCCATAAGACAATGGATTCATCTTCATGTATTTATTAGTCTTTAACTCACCAGATGTTATGTAATATTGGAATTTTTTGTGATCAAAAACAAAGAAAACTGACTTCCAATCATCAATAATTCAATATGACATCGTGTCCAGTTAGCCTCCTCCGTAGGCATCGCCCTTATGCTGCAATATCATACCAGCCAATAAATACATGAAGATGAGTTCTTTCTCAGAAAGACTGCTTTTTAAATTACCATGCATGCATGGTAAATGTACTTTAAACCCTGCATGTGTATTTTACCTGCTTTCGATATTTTGCGTTCCTCCAATGATAGCTTCGTATTTCATCTAGTTACAATTTTGTATATAGCAAAGTGTTAAATTAATAGCCCTTCTCGCGCCATATATACGACCAGGCCTTGTCCGCCGCGAAGTAACAAAGGATAATCACAAATGAAGGGATGATTTAATGAAATAAATAGTACAAAAGTACAGTGTTTTTACTTCACAAAATTCACTCCTTCGCTTGTTACCGCCAAGCTGTGAAATGAATATAACTGGAGCGCCACCCCCAACCGGAAATTTGAAGCCAAACTTGAAGACCAGTGTTTTCACGCATGCAAGGATGGCGCCAGGTCAATCCATAAAACACGAGTATTCTTGAAAACCGGCTTAAGTTTTACAATAAAGCTTTTTAACAACGCTCAAAGCTATCTGTCAATGCATTTATTCAGGTAAAATTTCCTACTAGATTTTACTTTGGTTTTTCATTTTTTTTCTAATAATAGTGGGATGCTCGCTCTCTGAACTGGTCTCGCGAGAGAATTTCGAAACATAAACACGCGGGTCTTGACCCCAGACTGAAGGTAGCGTTCCAGGTAGTTCATCTGAAGGTAGCATTCCAGTTATATTCATTTCACTCTTACCCCCTTTTTTTCTCAGTGCGATTTATCCAAAATGGCGAAAATGGCCTTGTGGCATGGGGTGAGAAAGTCTTATTGTTCAAATAGTTTCAACGAATTTGCCATGTGATTCAACGAAAATTTACCTTATTGGAGTATTTTGTCATAATTACGGCCGTGGCAGAATCATCAAACTAAAATATAAGATATATATATATCAATATGTTGTTGCAAATGTATTGTACATGAGAATTTCGAGTGTAAATTTTATACATTTAGACCAAACCAGGAGCAGCTGCGAAAAATGCAAGTGTATACGCTCTCTTGCAAGAACAGCTGGGTTTATTTTAAGAAAAATTCAGAACTGCACATATAGGGATGTTACGAAGGCAACGGGTGTTTGCCTGGGGGGGGGGGGTCGAAGGATTTTTACCTGCATATAGGTGACAGAATAATGGTGTGGTTGGGTGGGAGAATTGGAGAAAGGCCAGACAAACTCGAGTTTGGGTGCGGGAGCTAGGGGTGTTCCCCAAAATAATTTGAATCTAGAAGCTCTTAAGTTCTGGCAAAGATTTGTTTTACCCAACCACTCACACAAAAACTATTTCAAAACATGTAACTGAGAATCATGGATACTCAATATATAACAACCTTAAAGGTGATCTACAGTCCGATCTGCGCATGTGCACAAATGAGCCCACTTTTTATGATACAAACAGTTTAACTATGCTTTGAGTTCTTGAAAAGCCTGATTGTTGTTCCTTGATCATTTATTATACTCTAGAAGCTTGAAAATATAAATAGTTGTCGAATAAAGCTCAATATTTTGGACACAAAAATGTAAACAAAGGCTTTGTTTACATACGGACTGTAGATCACCTTTAAATTTGCATTTGAGGCAGCAAAGAATATTAGGTTTTCCCACTCTAATCTCTTTTGGGGAGCTTCGCTCGCCCCAATTTTAGCTTCTTTTCTCAATTAATGACAGCAATTCTGGAATTTTCTGGAGCATCCACAAGGGCAACGAGTAAATGAGAAGACTGTTTTAAAAAAGGCTATTTTTGTTACTTTGGTGACTGCACATTTGTGTTTTAAGAACTGCACAAATGGGTTTAGAACTGCATATTAAAATAAACCCTGAAGAATAGAACGTGCTGCCTTGGATTTCGGTCCAGTGCTCTAACCTATACTGAGCTACAGAGTCGAGTTGCCGAGTTTTATCCGCATGCAAGTTCATGTGTATGCGGTATAATGTGTATAATGAACTTGGCTTTTTATAAAGCCCCGTATAGACAAGCAAGTTTTCCTTGACAATTAAGTGTAATTTCTCCTTTTCCTTGACACGTTCTGTTGCTCGTGTACATGGAATGTTGGTAAACATTTATCTCACGTCAAAGCTTTTTTGGCCAAAACCATAGAAGTATTTCTTGCACACTATATTTCTGTCAAGTTAAATTTCCTTGGCGGCTGTACATATCAACGGAAAATTTCACTTGTCCAAAGTCTGGCATAACCAACTTTGGATTTAATAAAACTTTATTTAAAACTCGACAACTGGTTACAACAACAGCTACAGTTGGTTGGAGCTCTCCACCGAAACCGCATGCAGGGCCACAGGTTCGATTCCTACCTGAAGGCTTATAGTTGAATTTTTCGCAGCAACTCCTGGGTAGGTGTAGCTAAATATATGCATGTGTAAAGTTTACACTTGAAATTTTCCAAAACCTTTCATCATTTAGTTATATCAAGTGAGATGCCAAAAATCCTGTTATAATATATTTACTGGTTCCACTGTTTCAAAAAAGGATGAAATGTACATCTTTATATAGTTGCCCTCAAATGATCGATCGGTTTAAGTGTACAATACCTGAGGTCGACCTGCTCTGCCAGTCATCTGTAAGATCTGTGACTCAGCGTATTCCTCAAATACTCCTTTCACATATTGCATTGTTGATTTAATGATGACCAAATGAGCTGGGAGGTTTACCTGAAATTATAACGAGACGGGAAACGATTGGATGGTTTGCGCATTCAGTACAGAACTAGGATTGCTTGACAGATGAACAGGACCGTTTGGTGCCAGAAGTTATTAGGCTCGCAGAAAGAAAGAACAAAAAGAAAAAAATGAATAAACGAAGGAACAAAAATGAAACAAATTATGCAAACAGTGGCCGACACTGAAAGCCTTAATTTATAACCATGAAGGCATTGGCAGCATTGTTTATATTATATGCATTTTCTTCTTTCCCAGTACATGCCCGAATATTGGCAAAAAACGGTGATTTTTTTGTTACCGCGGTAACAGAAGGAAATATTTTTCCTGGCCTTCAGATGAAATAATAAACTGCAAGTCATGTGCTTTGCTGCAGAGATGATATATTAGTTTTAAGTTTAGATATAGATAATGAGAATCATGTATATATAACAACAGTCCATATAGTTATAGCTGTGGAACCATGAAAATTCATTCTGGTGTGTTCACTGTGTTGGTCGCCAAAAATATATGTTATATGTCCAGATGCAATAAAAATATAGAAGCATAATACTTATGTAAATGTGAAACTAAATAAAACGTGAAAAAGTGAAGGTCATAGAACATATAAGTACATAAGTGTATGTTGATATCATAATACGTGCTAAAGTGCGCGCGCTCATAAATAATGTGTATGCGTGTGTCAGACTCATGAGAGCCATGCCCACACCACAGAGTAGATACATATACAGAGTTATAACTAGTGTACCCACTTTTTTTGTGCGCCTGATTTATTATTTTTTTTAATAACTTGACAATCAATAAGATCGAAGGTCAGGACAACGGAACAGAAGTTCCCAATTAAGTCCCACCAAGACAACACAAATACAGACGTACATAAAAAACTATTTACAACAGTAAAAATTAATCTCGATTGAAGAATGCTCGACTGGTTAATCTATTGAAACTCAGTTTGTGACTAATAAATTCATTCTGGTGTGTTCACTGATTGGATGACGACCTGATGACGACTCACTTTAACGACTCGCGGAACTTGCTGAGCACGCGCAGTTGATCATTTTTTGCCCGGTCGCCTGAAAAAAAGTGGGTACATGAAAACGTTGCCAAACGTTGCCGGCGCCATTTTTGGGTGGCATCCAATTCTCGTTAACCAATGCAGACAACTAAAACAATGTGAAAAGCAGTTTTTCAAAATAAACTAACCATTTACAAAGCCAATGATAACATCATTCGTCAAAAAATTATAAAAAGTCGCTGTTATGTGGACTTATCTCGCAGACGTCGGCTGAAAAGTCACCCAAAATGGCGGCGTGAGAAAGGCTAATTGACTTTACTCTTTGTCCCAATGGCCTAGCCCGTTTCGGTGTGTTTTAGCATAGCAGGCGCGCATGAAGGTTATAGGTTGCCATGTTTCGCACACAAATATGTTTGATTCTATGATTCTCTTCGATCTCAAGCCCAATCACAACCAATCTTTATCCCAATTGCGCAACAAACATAAGGAAATCTGTACATGAAAACAAGGGCATTGGGACAAAAATGCAAACAAACAGTACGGCCTATTGATTTTATCGAAATATAACTTACCCCCATTGCTAAAGTACTTGTAGCAACTGCAAGACAAACAGAAACATTAATCGTCATTAAATTTACAACTACTTTGGAACAATTTTTTTCATGGGTTCAAAATAATTTTCATACACAAAACCGGCAATTCTCCTTTCGTAAACATGGCTTCAATAGATTTTCGATCAGAGGAATCCAAGCCAGCGTGATGGTAAGCTACACCACACATAACAAGTTCTGCAAATAGAAGTTTTAGCAGTTTCAATATCCGTAGACATATAGAATTAATAATTATTGCATGATTGAGTGAGCGGTATATCAAAAATCATCAATACCAAAATTTGTATTAGCAACCGAAGCTGAAAGCCGAGTTGATGACACAAGCTAGAGCCGAAATAATCGGTTATATTTTTCCTGAAAAACTTTCCTTTTTTCATAAATGCTTCAAAACCTTTTTTGGCTTCTATCATCGTTATTTCTTCTTTATATTTTAAAATTTGCTTCTGTTGGGTCCGTTTCAGAGGGACGCATCTAAGGCAATTAATTATCGTACCTCGAAGCTTGGAGTCATGAAGCGAATTTGCACAACGTTGCAGCCTGGAATTGTATAAAATTAAAATAAAAGAGTTGGATTAAACCGACGAACCATACGTACACATTAAGTTATTTGAGTAAAGACAAAAGAATGATTGAAACCTTTGTCGGTGTTCGGAATTCATTACGAAACGAGCGTCTTTTGTAAGCGTGCTTCCAGCCTGCTGCGTTCCCTTTCTTGTTGAACAAAACTTTATTGGAAAAAGGTATGAAAAAATTAGTATAGATTTTCAGTATATAAAATAAGACAACGTATCTAGGCTTTACTTACCACTAATGTCGGCTTATTTTCCGAGTAAGTCTGTATGATACTGCTGAGTTTGTAGTTTAGAGAGAGATCAAATCTAAAGTTCGAGGTGTTTTCATTACATGGATAGCCAATAACCACTTTGCGGAGTTTCACTGGACGGTAGCTATCGTCCATACTGTAACGAGTAAGGATTGTAAACAGAGTTACGGAATATTCTAGAAAACTGGTCTGACGATATGCATATATATATATATATATATATATATATATATATATATATATATATATATATATATATATATATATATATATATATATATATATATATATATATATATATATATATATATATATATATATGTATGTATATATATATATATGTATATATATGTATGTATATATATATATATATATATATATGTATGTATATGTATAT